CTTTTTATCTTTTAGCTAACCTTTTGTTACTCAGTTTTTAGTCAGGATTTTATAACTTTCAGTTAGCATTTTGCTCTTAAGCTGTAGTGTTTAGCTTCTTTTAGCTTTAACAATGCAGTTTCAGCTTCTTCATCATACTGTATCTCATTCAGCACTCAGCATTCATATTGCACAAGAAAAATAAAGTCCCTTTCTAAATATTTGGATTCTACAGTCTGACCAGGACTTGATCTGAAAGCAGGAGCGTTCCTCTTCACTGTTTCAGTGCATATCACCTAAATCTTCCTGTGACTGGATCACAACACAGTTTGGGGGAATAGTTATTGACACTACTGCTTATGTCCAAGTTGTGCACGTCAAGATGTGCAGAGATTGTTCACATCATTGTGAAAGTCACCAATAAATAGTCCCACTGTTACAAGGTACATCTGCAGTTCCATTTATTTTGGCAACAAAATAAGTTTACTGATGATGCACCTTTTAGGTAGCCTTGCTCATAAATCTTTGCGTGCATTATCAGCATATAAGTGCAATTTAGGTGCTACGCCAGAGATATATTTTCGAAAAGAAGTGCTCATTTGGAACAAGGTCTGTAGAAGGAGATGAAATATGAGTAGGTCAGCAGGTATTTGGCCACAGGGATTAACTTTTACTGTGTTCGCAGAGCTTTGAGTTGACATTTGGAAAGAAAAATGTGCACATTCAAAGATATAATGTGATTAAACAGTGGAATGTCACAATAACGGGCCTATTAAACAACAAAAAAGGTGAAGATAAACTAAAGGTAAGGAAGGCTATATAAGAAAGGTAACAATAAAATGGCTTTCTTGCTTTTTCTGTATCTCATTTCGAATATTTTTGGTGTTTTTATTAGTCTTTTCATTCAACATAAAGTGGTTGTTTCTGATATTAGGTTAGCAGCCACACCAGTCTACCAGTTTATTTTCCTTCCTTGCAGTTTTGTCACCTAAAGTGAGGCAGATGTGCTTGCTCAGTAGAAAATGTGGGTTTCTCTTTAAGCAAAATGTTCTGTAACGACTTTGATTTGTGAATCGGCGCTATATTAAATTTAAAATTAAATTAAAAAGGTGCAGGAAAACTTTTCTCCTCACACCTTTCAGCTTGTAAGATTAAAATCCAAGCAGCCACAGTGCAGAGACAAACCTCTTATCAGGGCTGCAATATGAAATCAGCAGTCTGCTGGTTGTACATATTCCTGATTGCACTGCAGTTTGAGCAGAGCTTCGGTTTTTCCGTTTTATTTTACCACAAAGTCTGATTTATTGGGTTTCTAATGAGTTGTCACTGCTGCAAAAACAGCAACAACTGATAACAGGAATGTTTATTGGTAGACTCGTGCATTGAGACGGAAATTGCATCCAAAATCCCTTATGCAAGGTTTCATACCGTGAGCCACGGAGAAATTCAACTAAGAATACGTTAAATAAATTTAAATTGCTCACTGTTATGTAAGCCAAAGTTTTAGACAAAGATTTTACAGATCTCTTAGCCCTCAGCAGATGTGTTGGGGATGACTTTCAGCTATTACCATTGAATTTCAGCTCAATATCGGTGAAATTGTGCATTTTAGGCATATTTGTGTTTGCTAAAATCAGTTAGCTGTGACAGCCATCTTGATTTAGTTTGGTGTCAGGGGAATTTAGGTAAAGGTCATGGATGCATCACTAACTAATGTTATATTAATGTTGAACCAAGAGTCTTTTGTCTACTCAGAGAGGAGCCTGCAGGCACACAGAGACACACCTGATAAAGTCTAAGGCCTTCTCAGAGTCTGTAAGCTGGTAAGCCGAGATCATCTTAATCTTGCCTCTGTCTGATAAGCATGTATTAAAGCAGTGGTCCCCAACCCTCGGGCTGCGAACCGGTGTGGATCAATTGGTACTGGGCCGCACAGAAAGAATACATAACTTACATTATTGCTGTTTTATTTAGTGTCTGATTCTGAACAATGTTTTATTTTGGAAAATTAATGGCTTCTCTCCACATCTGTCTTTGACTCACTTTTGACGCAGGTCAAGATGCTTTCCTCGGTCACATGGCTGGGGCTGCTCTCGCCCTGTATATGCAAGATCAACTGCTGGAGATTGCAAATGGCGATGGCCTTAAAAGTATGTTTGAGACAATAACTCTGCGAGTGTTCTGGATTAAAGTCATGGCAGAATACCCTGAGATCGCCACAACATCACTGAAAACCCTGTTGCCATTTCCGACATCGCTTTGTGAAGCTTTCCTCTCAATTCATCTGTGAATTAGACGAACAAAGACCTTAAGAAACCCCTACTGTTAAGGTGTTGAGGTGTGTCTTGTCAAATCTACATATGTGTGTGTGTGTGTCTTATCTCACTCAGCCTTATAACCTGAATCTCTCACTTACTGCTCATTGAATTGAGAAAGCTCCTCGGATGAGGAGCGAAACGTCTTCTGTTACAAATAATGTCCAGTTGTTTTTGTATTGGACGTTTTTTGAATTGATCATGTCCTGGATGACTGAGAATCTTCACCAGCATTTTGTGAAGCAGGGTTTTCTGCAACCAAAACAAAATTACGGAGCAGACTGGACATAAGCAACACACTTTGGGTGTCATTGTTTCCCATTACCTCTAGATGGGAACATCTCATTACAGAGAACAAGCTCAGGGTCCCACTGATTTAGCTTACGGTGAGTTGTATTTTTCATGCACTTTATATTTGTTTTTGTGGTGAATGGTAAATGGACTGTACTTATATAGCACCTTTCTATCTTATTGAGATACGCAAAGCGCTTTACACTACAATCTGTGTACTTATTTACCCATTCATACAGCACTCTATTATATCTCTACAAATCTAATTGATCAAATTATTCTAAAGAGACGAATCAATGTTTTATCACATACATACACCGATGGGACACACATCGGAGGCAGCGAGGGGTTCAGTGACTTTCCCAGGAACACTTCGGCATGTGACTACTGGTGGATTCGAACCCGCAACTCTTGCATTGGAGGCTGATTGCTCTAACCCCTCAGCCACAGCCGCCCCTTGAATCTTATGTTGAAGACGTTTTAACCTTTACTATTACAACCAGAGAGTGTGGGGCTGAAATAGAGTTGCACTCGGGTTCAAATAATTCGACCCAACCTGGCCCCAGCCCTCAGCTATCATCTCGGAACCCTACCCGATCTGACAAATTAACAGTAATTACAGGTCCGAACCTGAACCCCCCTCCTGACATTTTTAATTAAGCTTTGACTGCTTATACCACCGACTATTATTAATGGTTGGTGGACGTGCACAGCTGAGTAAAGGGGCAGAAGCACGGAGCTGTGGAGCCCTCAAAGCGCATTAAATGCTTCCCTTGCTTCTTCCTGCATCCTGCTCTGACATGTCGGATATTTTTTGATCTCACCTGTTTGGGTCGTCCGCGCGCGTCTGCTGAGTGCCGCGGCTGAATGTACGTCCATTTGGGCAATGGATCACTGGCAGTAGTCCATCTGAAGATTAACTGAACTTTTTTTTTTTACCTCTTTCAACCAGCTGGTCAGCGCACAGTCAACTGGTTGCATGCGGCTGGTGATTGTATGGCAAGCCATGTTAGCATATAATTGGATCGTCGACCGCGTGTGTCCCTGACGTAATAAAAAAAGTCAGACATCGATCCGGCCCGCACATTAAGCACATTATTATGGCCTGGCCACCGGTATATTTGAAAGGATATTTATTTATCCAACACTTGGCTCCAAAAATTAACCAAGTGCAGATCCAATAGTTACTTTCTGAATGTTTTAATACAATCTGTCCAATGGTTCATGTGATATTTTGCTAACAGGCAGACAAACACAAGCACACACAAATACCTGATTGCTTGGTTTTAATGGCAATGAGCCAGAACAATAAGAAAATATTACCTGATCGTATGCAGTTATGAGCTATCACTGAAAGCTGGAATGGTTATTTTGCTCATCGAAAACCAGGAGGTGATTTCAGCCTGTTTGTTGCTAAGTTGGGATTTGAAACACACAGACTGCTGTGACGATGTAAATATCTTCTTCACTCACTTGTGATTTCCTCTGCTTTGGGACAACACACTGCGGTGTGTTTCATTACCTACAGGAAAGAAAAGATGATTGTTATGATGGATACACTGGCGCTAAAACAAACAGGCTGCATGCGGTGTAATATATATTCTGTACAAACACAACAAACACACACACATTCATCACTGTGGAAAAAAAAGTAAACCAATTCAAGGTCAACGGAAAGACATTTTATGAGAAATTTGTTTATTTCATTAATGTGATGTTTAGTTTGCCGAACATTATTTTAGATTCTTTTATTGAAATTTTAAATTTTTTTTAATAGCATTTTAGCTGAAATGCTTAAGGATCTAGTTAGACATGAGGGACATTTATTTTGGGGGTTTAAACGTTTCAGGTTTACTTTTTTTTTTAAAGTGGAAGTTAGCATTTGATTATTATATTAGGATTAGGATTAAGATTACCTGCTTAGTGTTTAGTCTTCCTTTCAGTCCCATGATTTACACGCTTAATCAGAGTCAGGCTGCAGCTGTGCTAATCACAAAAGAGAACTCAAATCGCTGAATAGGCTCGGGCATTCGTATGTTTAACACGGGACACTGCAGAGCAAATATTCAGGGTGAATGACAAGAAAGGCAAAAAAGAGGTTAACAGGAACATCGAAAACGTTGCAGATTAAAACTAATAAACACACGATCAATGACGACCAATATTTAAAGCCACTTTATGGGCCAGCTTCGAACGCTGAGAATATTTATGGCATTTTATTGTAAATGTGAGGAGTTCTTACCTCTATAAAACTCCAAAAACAATGCCACTGAATCAATATCTGATTAAGATGTAACACTAAAGAGTTTATTCGCTAATAAATTGTGATGAAATGTCCAATAATAATAGAGTAAAGCGATAGATTAATTTACAAGTGGTTCATTTGGGGACCGTTTCCTTTATGAAACACTTCATTTGTCGCTTGCGAGCAAATAACGTTTAGACAAAAAGTTCTCTTACAAATCGTGTAAAAGCACCTATTTAACGCTCGTTATTTATGAAGTCTTTTACAGTTTGAGGTTTATGATGTTTTTATTAAATGCTTTGTGTACAAATACAGAATACACACAGAACAAAGCACAGATTATAAATTACATAACGTGTATTAGTGACTGCTTTCAACTCAGGCAAAATGTTTTTTTTTTTACACAATCACAATCTCACATCATTTTTTTATTTATTTTTTAATCACAAAAGGTTTTTTTTTGTATCAGTCATCGTTTAAAAGCAGTCATTTATTGTGAAATGTAGGGTGTAATTAATAGTTCTGAACATCGATCGTCTTTGAGAGAAATGTTTTCTCATCTCGACACATTTACGTCTTCAGTTCTTCAAAGATTGGTTTCCATTTGTTGCGTTTAACGGAGTCTACCGTGTTATTTCTGTTCGGGGCAAAGAGTGCTTGTCTGGAGGTGTGTTACCATGGAAATGCCTTTTGCAAATCAAGCAACAGCTGAAATCATTAAGAAAGCAGAGCGTCCGCAGATCAGTATTGGTTTATAAGAAACAGTTTCCACAAAATGGTTTCAGAAGACAGAAAAAAACAAAACAAAACTTGGAAATTAGGCTGAATTTGATCTTTTTATGATTTAGAAAATTTGTCAAATAAACCCAATAATCAAGTATTTCTCGTTCGTAACAGTCAAATCTACAAAACATAAAAAAGAATGAACGTAATGCACTTGAAACCCACAGTAACGTTTGAGAGGCTGAAAAAATAAATTAATTCTTTTTAAAATAATTCAGTTTCTCAAATATCGCTTCATGTGTTTGTTAAATACATTTCTGCATCAAAGTTAAATTGGATTTGGGCCATTTTACATACTCTTAACGGAAAGCTTGTTCTACACAGGTCAAAGTACACACTACTGAGCTAAAATGTAGTTTTTACGTGCAATAGGGAATTGTTTAATCAGTTATCAGTCCTGCATTAAAGTGAGTATTTATATTCAATTATGGTTATGGGAACACAACCTTATGGTTAACACCCACATGCCAATTCTCCCCCAATTTATATGCTTTAGTGCCGCAAGAGTGGGTACAGCAATTTTTTCACTACAGAACAAAACGTTTACTTTTCATATTAAGTTGTACGGGAGCTCTGAAACTGACAACTTGTAAGAAAAGTGATACATTTTCTAAAAATACAGCTTGTTTATGCATTTTGTTTGGTTTACTTTTAACAAATCTTTTATGAGAATAAAAAAAAAAAAAAAAGACACCAACAAAGTTCAGTCAGGTCATCTGGATGGTTTCTTTTTTTTGTTGAGACGTTTCGTCCTTCATCCAAAGGACTTCGTCAGTCCAAGGAGCCACAACAGACTCGGTCCACAAGTAGCACACTCCCTTAGACAACACACTCTTTAAATAAAATTAAAAAAAGACAGTTTTCTTAGGATTTTATTCATCACGGTGGCGGTGTTCCTTAGTATGTTCTGATTATTATTATTTTTTATGCTGTTTGGACTAGGGATGCACCGATCCACTATTTTTTACTTCCGATCCCGATACCCAAGTCTAAATATCGGCCGATACCGATACCGTTCCAATATCATGATCATCATTGATTTTACATGAAGCTGTAATAATCTCCTCTCAAGTACAGTTTGTACAAGTATATGCATGCATGTCCAAAAAGGCAACTTGAGGTAAATTTTATTAATGTTGGACAAGTTTTAAAGTTAGAATTAAATTCTGCTAACACAAAACATGTTTCTTTTTATTCCTAGTTTTAAAGTGGATATTAAAGTGATTAATATAAGTGATTGTTTAGTTATTTTATATTTTTTTTAAATAAGGGGCAGATATAAGAATTTTTTTCTTCTTTCTGCACTCTTTTCATTGTGTTTTCTTTTTGATGATTTTTTAAATTTTGTTTCATTTAAATGAATGAATGAATAAATTAAATTAAATAAAATGTTAAATGGCTTCAAGCATCTGCTAAGTTCATGGCATAAACCAACAGACATGTTCCTGTTTTTAGTATTTTACATCACTTTATAATGTAGCTGTTTATGTTTTTAATATATATATATATATATATATATATATAATTTTCAAATCACATGTTTTTTTTTATGATTGTCTATTGTTGTACTGATAAATATCTCCTGGAGGGTAAACTATATCTTGACTGCAAGTATCAAGCTGCAAAATCCTTCGTTTTCTACAACTGATAGTGGTTGGTCATTAATTATGATGAAGTTTAGCAACGTCTCTGTAAACATTAGAGCTCCGTGGTTTCAGCGATGTCTTCTTCTTGTTCTATACGAAGCAGGCAGCCTGAATGGGGGCGGCCGCGCTCAGTCTGTCCCTCCTCAGAGACGGGCAGACTGAGCGGGGCAGATTGGACGTGGCTGGCCGGGGTCGAGTCGCCTCTTTTGGTTTGACCAAAGAGCAGTGCCCCGCTGAAGCCACGGAGCTCGAATGTCCAACGTAAAACTAACTTTAACGTGGTTTAATGTGGTGCTATGACTCTGCAGACATTGCACGTTGCTGTTTTGTTTTGTGGAGTTTCTAGTGTAAAATACTTCCACACAGCGGACATGTTTCGATGAAAAGTTTGTTAGCTGTTAGCCACAGTGCTGCTAACTCAGCCCTCACGTTGTAGCTGGCTGCAAACTATGAACTGGATTTCCTGAATGTGAGGCGGCTCTTATTACTCTGGGTTCATGAGACACGCCGCCGTTCAGGAAATCCATTCTGTAGTTTGAAGCCAACATGCATCATGGATCGGAAATATCGGCAGGTGGATCGGAAAAATCCGACACGTAAATTATGCTGGTATCGGAGGACGATACCGGATCGGATCGGCCCCATCCCTAGTTTGGACCCTTTGTGGTCATTGTAAATTACAGTACTACGTGTCAATCAAAATAGTCTGTTTGGCCTTATGTTTCATTTTATTCATCTAAGTAAACACCTGAGGAACAACCTCAGCTGGGGCAACACCACCAGCCTGATCAAGAAAGCGCATCAGAGACGCTACTTCCTCAGACGGCTGAGACGAGCTGGACTGGGAAGCTCAGTCCTCACCTCCTTCTACAGGTGTGCAGTGGAGAACATCCTGTGCTCCATGTGTGGCATGGAGGCTGCACAGCTGCAGAAAGAAAGGCTTTGCAGAGAGTGGTGAAGGCTGCACAGAAGTCTGTTGGAGTCAGCCTCCCCACCATCACAGACATCTACACCTCCAGATAAAGGAAGAGGACCATCTGCATCATGAAGGACCCCACTCACCCAGCACACACACTTTTTGCCCTGCTCCCATCAGGCAGGAAGTTGTGGAGCATTAAGCGTAGAACCACTAGGCTGAGGAACAGCTTCTACCCTGAGGCTGTTAGATTCATGAATCTCTAACCAGGATAATAACTGTACATCTTTAATGCCACTTTAATTGGTGATGTGTCACTTTATCCATGCTGCAGATTTCTTACCCATCTGCTCACAACAGACTCGTGTTCAGGCTGCTGTTTAATACACTGAATTATATTATTATTGTTTAGGATCTTAGATCCTTGTATACTGTTTATTTTTTTTTTTAAATACTTTATATTATTGCTATTTTGGGGTGTAACTGGACCTTGAGTACACAATTTGTTCCACCTCATGTACCACATACGATGCGAATGACAATAAAGCCACACTGAACCTTGAAACAACAGGATGATACATTCAAGAGAAGGTGAGTAAAACAGCTGATGGCTGTCGGCACGCTGTTTCACCACAGTGAATTTTAAAAGGGATCCAGTCTTTGCTCTGACACACAGCTCTGATGTTTCTACCATTTCACATCCGTCTCATAATGAAACTTGGTATGAGATTACTCTTAAAAAAAGTGACTCTAAACTGCACTAATGTAAAAATTATAAAATAATTTGCCAATTGTCTAAATGTACTGTAGCTTTTACAAAAACATTCGCAGATGGACTGGTGTTCTCTGTTGACCCCCCCCCCCCCCATGACAACACCGTGGGCTGCCCTCCGCTCACACACGCAATAAAAAAACATTTTGGGGTGCCCATTTGAACAGCCAGGTGTGAACATAGTCAGAACTAACCACTTCCAATTAAACCCATAAGTGCGAGGTGGGAACGGAGCCATATCACTTACTGTTGTGTAATCACATCATGGATAATTAGCAGACTGACAGACAAGGGGACTTCTCACGTCATTAACATTTACCATATTTTTTGGACTATAAGGCACACTTAAAATCCTTGAATTTTCTCAAAAATCGACAGTGAGCCTTATCCCGTGCGCCTTATGTTTTAATTCTGGTTGTGCTTACTGACCTCGAACCGATATGTGATACACGGCGCTCAAAAGTCTGTCTAAATGAACTTATTTCGCTTAATGAGCCTTATAATCCGGTGCGCCTTATAGTCCAAAAACTACGGTAAGTAAAGAGTGATAATGGATGTCCTTCATATAATTAGCGCTGAGTGAGGTTACAGCTTATTTTGCAACTAAATGGGCTCATTGAGGGATGAGACAACACCATGACATGTCCCAGTGCAGCAGGTTGCATCAGCCTTCAAAGTCCAAACAATTAGGGAGGAGTGATTGCTCAGTGGTATACACTTTAATTTGTTTCTTTCATGTGCCATTGTTGACGAGTGTCCTGGCAATAGAAGATGATTCACAGCATCCTTAAAAAAAACGTGCTAAAGTTTCTGTTTTTCATCTCCTCTTTCCCACTAACATAATGATGCTGACACAGGAAGCACGGCAAACAGAACAGGGTGCTGAAGCGTAGGAGGCTAAAGTTACCTCTGCTTTTCAAGCAAGTTACACAGTGACTGAGTGTAACTGTCAACGCCGGCACAAAGAGCAGGGGTATGAATGTGAACCCATAATTATCCCTGTTATAACAGCAATAAATGGAAACCAATCTGCCACAACAACAAACATAACCAGTGAGAATAAATCTGCAGTGCGACGTCAAACCACGGTTTTGGGAGAGGACAGAAGATATTTCAACAGCTAATTGTAAGCACAACCATCTTTTCTATGGATGGCCACTTTAATGTTAAAAAAAGAAAAGACCCAGTCTGAATTAACACATCAGAGGAATACAGTAAAGTTTTTTTTTTTTTTTCATCATTTTTAAAAGCCGATGAGCAAAAAAGTGAATGTTACAGCATTTTATGAAAAAATTCAGAGGACATAAAGATATAAAGAGGATTGCAGGTCACAAATCTGGAGCACCTTCAGTATCTACCATAAGGGTGTTTTCTGAAGCCCCCTCTTGTCAGCCGTAAAGTCGGAGCTTTGAGACCGGGTCGGGTGCTTGTCCATTCTTCCTCTGCAAAAAAAACAAACAAATAAATAAATAAATAAATAAACATTTAAAAAAAGATTAAAAACACGCTGTGGTGAAAAATCCCATGTCATACAGCAGAACTATTATATTCAGTACTTTCATAGTGCATTCCTTCAACAATAAAAAATCAAGTTAATATTCAGAAACTGATGG